GCCCGGACTTCCCTCTCCCCAGCTACTTGGACCAGCTCCTCAGGGGGAATTCAAAGGTGTTCCCTGACCAGCCGAGAGACATAGTCCCTCCAGCGTGTCCTGGGTCTTCCCTTGGGTCTCCTCCCAGTTGGACGTGCCCAGAAAACCTCACCAGGGAGGTGTCCAGGAGGCATCCACTAGATACCCAAGCCACCTCAACTGGCTCCTCTCGATGTGTATTTAATGTTTCTGTTTGTGTGCCGTTAAAGCAGTACACATGCTCTATTTACACCTTGTTGATCACTAAACTTTCAACTAGATGTCAATAAGTCAGAAAACTATCCATGAGTTAAAAATGACATTCAGTTTTGATTTTTTTCAATCTATGTTATGACCCAGAGGTGAAGATAGTCAGAGGGACTCAGGAGATTATTTTAGATACATAACAAATTAAAACTAAATAAACAATTTCATTCAAAGAATCTGGAACAATGTAGGCAGATGTAGTGACCAGCAGAATTAAGATGACACCTAAATGTAATAAAACTTCTGATCCATTCTAAACACATCTCCAACGCTATTGAAACCAATTTTTAAAACTATGAGAGAAACCAAAATAAAGCAAAGGGATTGCCAGCATTATTTTATTGAAATACAATCTAAACCACCAAAAATCACAGCTAAATCAATAAAGTTTTCAAATTTCAAAGATTTTAAATTATTCTCCATAACAGTACAAATGTTGACTGGTTCATCTGTTGGCCAGAGGTCTGTAACCCATCTCTCCCTCCAGCTGTTCAGCGGTGAGGGAGCCCAGGAGAGGCTGACAGTCTGGGTTGAACACAGAGTAGGCGCTCATTTCTCCAGGCTGTCGCGGCGCTGGGCTGCGCAGTCCTTCATACAGCCAGTAAAACAGGGAGATGACAAAGAAAGCCAAGCCAAACTCCAGCTCAACAAACAGACCCAGAAGAATCAGCCATAACAGCACTTTGAGCAAAATAAGGTTTGAGATGACAAGTTGTCTCGAAGCCAGCCATCTTCCTAGAGTGCTGTCCAGCAACCAGTCGTTAGTTTCCTGAAATAAAAAAACAAAAACAAATCATTTTCAAGTCTCGAGATTTTGGTTGGACTAATAAAATCGTGCATTTGATCTCATTTGCATAATTAGTGCTTGTAATATATAACGAGTCTGTGTCTGAAACGCTTTCTTACCCTGTTTTGGGAGCTGGCAGAGGCAGTTTGGGTGTTTTTTGTTCTCTCTGGTTGTTGGCTGTTGTTAGACTGAACCGCTATATCCGCTGCTGTCTGTTCCGTAAGCTGTGGACCACCACCTTCACATCTTTTAACCGCCTTTTCAGCCTCTCGTCTGGCTCGGAACTCTGCTAGTTTCTGCTCCATCGATACTGAAACGTTTCTCTTTAGTTTCCGTGGAAAAGCAGCTGAAAAACCTTTTACTATTGAACCGCAACTTTTAATAAAACTTTAATAATATTAATAGCAACGAACCAGAACCTGTTTCCTCAAGTTAAGGCCCACTTTGAACACATTTTTGAAAGATTTCACTAAGCTTGGCTATGTCTGTTTACGTCTTACGTCAGCGCTTGCCGCAAAACAGGACGTAAAAGCTTCCTTTAACTGTCGTAAAATATCAGTTTACGGTATTTTCCTCACTTTGTTACTAGCTTGGGTTCTGACTTCATCCGAGGTGAGTTCAAAATGCAAAAAACCCCATTTACTCTAAGATCTATTTGTTGTTCTTGCTTTATAACGAACTTTTCGCAGATATGCAACAGAACGCCACGTCTTTGAACCTTTTCCGCAAATATTAAGTCGATAATTGATGATTTTTGTCTGGAATAAAGTTTGATGATCATATTTTTTTATGACGCTAAGTGTTTGAGAATCATTTTATATCACTGTGTCAGCTTGATCACTGACCGTGTCATCACTTCTTTTTTGCATTAATCTCGGTTTTACTGTTATGGTTGAGAGATGTTGCATTCCAAATTAGCCCTAAGTGGTTTCCTTTAGCTCGCTGTTAGATCTGGGTTGTTTTAGTTATGTCTTTGTCTCTTTTCTTTGCAGACATGGCTTCAGCTACAGCGCAGCAACCCACTCTGACTGTTGAACAAACCAGAGGTGACAGGATTATGTCGATTGTGTTGCTTTTGTTCAACTAAACCAAAGCTAAAGCACTGTCTTATGTTTTTCCTGAAGTCGATCAAAGGAGCACTTCACACCTGAGCTCTTAGTGCATGTCAGTAGAATAATGTTTTCAGTTCCTCATGAGAAGGTGTAGTTTTGAAGTATACAACCTTGGAAAATATTTAAGAAATATTTTTTGTTTAAATCAGCTTCAAGTGTTTCAAAGCAGTCATCACCACAGAACCAACCTTTTCTTTATTGCTGTCAGGAGTAAAAAAATTGACACGATCTACAATTAATAATCTGATTATAATCCCATTACTTTTTTCATCTTACCTAAAATAACTGAGAAAAGCCCTGGTCTTAGTGCATTTTTCATTTAAATACTGTACATTATTGTGGCAGACATGGGAAGTTTAACACTAAAGGGGCTTTACAAGGTGTTGGTGTCTAACAGATGGCGTCCCAGCCTTGTGAGACTAGACCCAAGGGGAATATTGCTGTGCTCGTTAATCTCTGATCAGAGGTCTCATTTGTAAAGCTTGCCAAACGGGGTCTGACCATTTTGTAAATGGTTTTCTACTCCCAACTTTGTGAATTATAAAAGAGAAACATGATGGAAAAATGTGCAGTTTTTTGCTAAATCAGACCCTGGTGTTAACAGGGGAAACTGGCAGTGAGATGGTGAATGTAAGCTACTTATACAAACTTGTAGATGAGCATGTGCGAGACACATTCATAGAGCGGCTACAGATATTACGGTTTGCTCCACAGTGGTACTGAGTGAAGTGATCCAGGCCTTCTCCGTGCCAGATAATGCTGCTCGGATGGAAGAAGCCAGGGAGAGCGCCTGCAACGACATGGGGAAGATGCTGCAGCTCGTTCTCCCGGTGGCCACTCAGATCCAGCAGGAGGTCATCAAATCCTACGGCTTCAACAATGAAGGAGAAGGTAAGCTTTATCTCACAAAGCATTCATTTATACCATTGACATATCGGACAATTCGTGTCCATAGGCTCCATTTATAAGTTTTTGTGCCAAAATGGGAGGTGGCTACCACCGCCATTTTGACCGTGTCACAGCTTCCGTCAAGCCCAGAAAATTCCATAAAAGGGAAGAGAGGTGGAGCTGAGGGTGGGGCTGCAAGGTTGGGATCAAATGACGACATCCGTCGAACTGAAGCAATGTAGCTACAAGCTAACGCGGAGGTGGGAGCTAAGCTAACGGAGGTAGCTATGTAGCTACAACCGGAGTTAACTGTGCACAACACCGGAGCTTCTGAGTCAGAGATACGCCGGGCTGACCGCTGGGGAGAACCGGGTGGAACACAGAGGTCTCCCGAAAGCTGCTGACAGCCGGCAGCCTGCGCAGCAGACAAGCGCCGCTGCGATCTGAGATGCGCAGAGCTGCTGCTGAGGGGAGGGGACCATACCGATAGTTGGAACCCAGCTCCACCAACATGTTATATTTCAACCCATTTTCTAAAGTGCAGCATTATGTTAAATGCACTGGGTTTTACCCTATTACATTTAAATTTCATGGTTAAACAGTACATGTTAAAATCTAAGCTCAGCTCGGCGGTGACCTAAAATACATAAATATAATTTTACTTACCAAAAAAATAAAGTGGAGACTCCTTGGATGCTCTATTAGTGCAATTAATACCACAGCAAGTCATTTTGTCCAACAATTGCACAAAAAACATCCAAAAAAGAACACACAAACGCTACAAGTAATGGTCTAAGTTGAGAGACTGAAAATCCCGGAACAGTTTCCAGGCCAGACCGAGGCTCTACTGAGGCCTTTCCCCAGAGTTAGCTCTGTGGTCACGTGGGTCTGATGCTCATTAATTATTTATGATAAATGATAAATGACCCGCACTTGTATAGCACCTCTCAGAGTAAGGACTGCAAAGCTCTTTACACTACAGTGTATCATTCATCCATTCACACACACATTCACACACTGATGGTGATGAGCTACGATGTAGCCACAGCTGCCCTGGGGCGCACTGACAGAGGCGAGGCTGCCGAGCACAGGCGCCACCGGTCCCTCCGACCTCCACCAGCAGGCAAGGTGGGTTAAGTGTCTTGCCCAAGGACACAACAGCAGAATTCTGTCCGGGGCCGGGATCGAACCTGCAACCTTCCGATTACTGGACAACCCGCTCAACCTGTTGAGCTACTGCTTTAGAATTTTAGGCTTTTAATACACTTAAACAGAAGAGAAAAAATTCACCCCCCTCAGAGTTGTCATGAGTGTAAACTAGATCATTTAAACCTAAAACATGTTTTGGTACCAGGCTGTAAACATGTTTATTTCTGCTGTGAAATTGGTATTTTTAACATGGGAGTCAGAGAGGATTTGCTCGCTTCCGACACCAGCCCCTAGTGGATGAGGGTAGAACTGCAATTTTTGTCACTTCCTGTTTTGCTTCATTTCCAGACCTGAATTATGGGGGCTTGGTTTATACTAGAGACCACAGCAGACGTCTGAAAATAAGTTTATGCCCTCTTTATCAGTTTGACAGTACAACTCTGCTGCAGGTGACGTTCTCACTTTAAGCCCAGCTTCTAGATATCTTGAAAAGTTTGAGTTAGCTAAAGGAACTTACATGTCAGAATTTTAGATGACATAACTTTAGTAACTTGTGATCAATTCTCCCATGCAGGCGTCCTTAAATTTGCCAGACTGGTGAAAATGTACGAAACTCAGGATCCCGAGATCGCAGCCATGTCCGCTAAGCTGAAGTCCCTCCTGCTGCCTCCACTGTCAACACCACCTATAGGAGGAGCTATTCCAGCTTCGTAGGGTTTACTCACGTCCAGCATTATCGGGTTAAGTCTCCTGCCTCTGTTCTCTCCAGTCATGTAAGATTTATTCTGCAACAAAGTTCAATGTTTCATTTAAGGCATCCTTGCAAACCCTTGTTGGATTATTGTTTTTAAATGTATTTATTAGTTACATTTAACACTATGACCACTTTATATTTTCACTGGAAGGTTTTCTTTAATGCCATCTTTGATATCATTTTATATAATGTTAAATGTTTGTTTTGCTACACAGTCAAATTAAATGTTTTCTCTGTATTTGGGTGTTTTTATTGACTGGACTGGTGGAAGCTTTAATATAGGTACTTTAATACATTAAAAAAAACATTTAACACATGTACATTTAAACTGCTGGTCATAAAGCCACTGCGGCGTATAATTGGCTAAAGCACGACTTTAAAATATAAAAGATTTGCTCGCAGTTACATCTGCTGTTAAGAGCGTTAGAGAAATGTGCACACAGTGATTATAAAAGAGGTGAAACCCCAGATTTGCTACATAAGATGAGAAGTGCCCAGTTTAGCTTTAAATGCATACAGTGATATGACACAAGCATGTCATTGTGGTGACCCTGTTGCATTTCCCCAGCAGCCGTTCTGATGCAGAGGATGAAAATAAAAAAGTGCTCCACTGGGAGCCAGTTAACACATCTTGGAGTTTAAAAATCACGAAGCTGCCGACTCCTGACGGATGAGATCCTGATTCTCAAACACGAGGAGCAGCAGGAGACAGAATCATGACTTCACATCTCAAAGTGACGGAAAATGTTCTCGATGTATCCCAGCACCCTCTGCCAGTCCGGCCCGTCCGCCTTCAGCATCTCCTCCACTGTCTGACACACAAACGGAAGATGTGAGGACAACGGCATCAACGCCAGAAATCACTGCTGGTTTTACATGAACTAAAACTGTAAACTGACATAAAGACCCGATTCTGTAAAAATAAAACCACGAGTCTGCCTTAAGTAAAACAAATCTGTCACTTGGTGCAAATTTACTTCTCATTTTCCCGCCCAAGCGCCCTACATAGTGATGAGTTCCCTTTAAGAACTGTAAAGATGGAGGTTTGGTAACTTCCTGTAGATGAGTGAGGAAATCTGCTCTGAACTACACAACTCACCAGTGCTGCGGGGATCCCCACGCTCTCTCCGGTCCTAAAAGCAAGGCCCAGGTTTCCCTCCTAACAAAAACAAGCTTTGTGATGATTTACAGATTGTGTGATGCCTTTTCTTTATTTGTATGTTTAATTATGACTAAACAGATCAGGTTTTTCCATCTGGAGCCTTTAAGACATCCAAGTCACCACTACTGCAGCTCAGAGGGTAAACATGGTGCCAGTAATACATATTGTTAATTTTCAGCAAAATGACGGAAAATATCAAGTTCAAGAGGAGACCATGTTAAAGTCTTGCCTTACAGAGGCTCTTTTCTCCTTTTCTGCTCCAGTTTTACCTTGTCAGCTGGACTGAGGCTGTCGTAGGGGATGTGAGTGGGTAAGAAGGTGTGATAAACTGCACAGAAGGCCAAACCGTCATCCCAGCTGGTGCTGAAATTAGTAATCTCAATGTTCTGTAGCAAAAAAACATCAGACTTTTGCTTACACCAGGTCTCAGTAAGTCATGTGACCATTTAGTCAAAAGGTAATCAACCGTTGTCTGACCTTGTAGCCTTGGGTGCGATTCTGACACCAGCGCAGCAGAGAGTTTCTCCTGGAGCCGCCGTGGCGCCTCAGCAAAGCACTGAACCCGTCCTGAGGTCTGGAAAATTAAGTAAACCCTTCAATCCCGAGTCGTGCCATTTAAAACCTCCTTTTCACACACCCACAGGTAAAAATGCCATAAAATGATGACCAGCGGCTCACTTGATAGATTCTGAGCTTTGATCTTCTTGTTTTCCTGTAACACAAACAGCCACGGCCTGACTAACGAGCACACAAGATAAACGCGTTACTCATGCTGCAGGTCGAGCCTCACCTGTAGGAAAACTGGACCAACTGTCTTGTCTCTGCAGCACGCGGTCCATCCTTCTCCCTTTAGAGGGCTCTTCTTTCTGAAGGAGTGAAACATCAATCTGCAGACTCTACACAGCCAAACACGTCTAAATATTCTTGTTCTTGATATAAACAAAACCATCTACCTTGCACAAAGGTAAAGTTGTGCTCGTTTGTAAAGTCCCATTTGGACTGGGAGCCTCACTTTGAAGAGGAAGACGAGAAAGACTCCTAAACACCAAGAAAACATGCTTGTTAATATTTTGTTTGGCCTCTTTAGTGGGAAGATTTTTATGGATTCACCAGGATCTTTCCGACAGCATCTCAACCCTTCTTGGGTCTTTTTGTCCTCGTTCTTCCCCTTTCCGTTTCACCAAAGCAGCCAGACTGCGTATGTACCCCTCAGCAACTCCTTTCCCAGTCAGCTGCAGGTCTTCTGCTCCGTTTGCCTTTTCCAGATCAGAAACTTCACTTTTATCATCTTTGTTTGCTTCAGCCTCATCTTCTGTTTCTGCTTCGTAAACTCCCTCAGACCCTTCTCTGTCCACCCTTTTGTCTGTTTGTCCGTCTTTCAGCCCGCAGATGTTCCTCAGGACGTCCAGCTCTGCTTGATGCTGCTGCTGCTGCACAATGAGTTTGCAGCAGACGTCTTTGTACTGGGCTCTCAGGCTCTCCAGCTCTCGCTCCATCTCCTGCTGCCTGCCGAGGGCTTGGGACAGCTGCTCCTCCACAGCTCTGTGGTTCTCCTGGAGCAGAACCAGAGCGTGCTCCGACTCCATCCGCAGCCGGTCAGCCACAGAGATGGCGATCTGTAGGTCGCACTGGAACTGATTCCACTCCAACCTCTCTGACTGGAACAAAAACATGCGCATAAAAACATCATCTGGTGCTTTTGGCACTTCCGTGTCTCCATAGCTCCACGAAAGATCTAAAAGGTTTTAAATTTGAGTTTTTAAATGAGTTCATACCTTCCTTAAGATGTTAAAAATAGTAAAAGTGTTTCTGGCGCAGCAATTTTCAGATGTTTTGCTACTTCTTTTGACCACTGGCATCCAACAAGGCTGTGTACTTGGTTTCCTATTCTTCATACTTTGAGTTGCAGTAAATCCAATTAAGACAAGTGCAAAATACCACATTTACTCAACATTAGAAATTTATCCTAAAGATCATTCCAAGGGATGATGCAATAATAATCTGAACTTATTACTATGCACTCTTGTGCAATCTTTTGTGCTACTGCTGCTATCCTGCTGTACCTGAGCCATTGCAATATTGCAATTTTCCCACTGAGGGACTCCTAAAAGGTATTCTTAGTCTTATTCCTTCAAGTTTTTGCAGCAACGATCTACAGCCTCCCTGGTAAGGTGTCCCAGGGACGTCCAGATGGGAGGCCTAAAGAAATACCCAGGCTCAGTGTTGGGAGTAATGCGGTACAAAATTACTGTAATGCATTGCTTTTTGCTGTAATGTGGTAAGGCATTACAGGGAAAGAAAATGGTAATATTTACTCGGTACAATTGTCAGTAACGTGGCAATTACAATGCATTTTTAAACCCAGAATGAAGATGTGAGTTTCCTAAAAATTACAATTACAGGAAGCCTGAAAAAAGATCCAGTATCCACATATATGACGTCATTTACGGACTCAGCTTTGCGGGCATTCTATGAGCAGAGAGGACACAGCGGTAATGGCTCGAATACTCCAGCTGCGTCCTGCGCGCTGCCGCCGTTATATTCACAAAATCGCTCCACCAAAACAAAGTAATTCGTTTATGATCGTTTTTATCAGCCCATATTCGCCAGTACTTTGTGTACTTTTCAGCTGAATTCATAATGCCCCGGTGATTTCAACTCATTGCTGCTAGAGCGCAGGGCATATTGAGGTTTTTTTGAATTTATTATTTTTTTGTGTTCGGTGGATCCCTTTGGCTGATTAGTTAGAAAGTAGGAAATCTAGGAAACAGTTTTTCTGGAAGACGGAGAAAACATGCAGCATGCAGGAAGGTTAGAGAAAGGGCAGGAAATTATTCAAATAAAATCAAGAAAACAAAACAAAGTGCTTGAAAAGATTTATCCCCCACACACATTTTTACCAGTGAAAAGCAATAATATATAAGCATTTAGTATTTATACATGTGATATAAACAATCATTTTAAAGCACTGTTATTATATCCGAGCTCAGACACCACATCACTTTCCACATATATGTCATGAGCTCACCGAGCGTCAGATTACCAGATTCATATTGAAGTTGTTTTGGTGAAAGTAACTTAAAGTAATGCAAAAGTAGTGTAATGCCTTACATTACAATATTACTGATTTTAAAATGTAACGAATTACTTTAAAATGAGGGTAACAAGTAATAAATAATGTATTACAGTATTGAAGTAACTTGACCAACACTGCCCCCCCCCCATATAATACAATATTATATGTTTTTAGATTAAATAAATAGAAATACATCCTGTTTTGTTTATTTTTTGACACATAGAACATTTGTTAACACAGCTCACCTTGAGCGTCTCCTTGAGGTTGTCCACCTCCTCGACCAGCTCTTCTCGTGCAGTTATTAAACGCCTCAGCATCTCTGTTAGGCAGGGAAAAAAGGAGAAATCATACAAAACAAAAAATGTATGACAGCAGAAATCTGCAGACATTCAACATGTCTGAAGGTTGGTGGTGAACAGTTTTACATACACCTCACTATAGACATGAAAGATACCAAAAAACCCTACAATACTTATTAAAATATGCCTCTATTATTAACATTTCTTTTCAGGTAGAGAGGATTTGTTTGAACATCCATTTTTAGTAAATTTGTGATTCAAATTTTTGTGACGCTCATTAACAGATTTCTTTGTCTGAGGAATTTCACTAAATCTGTATTTGTGGTGCGTTTCTGCACCATAAAGGACACCACTGCCACCAAACCTGTTAAATCAACCTGGAAGATTGCTGTAGTCAGAAAACGAGTCTTCCAGACTCCAACCACTCCTTTAATTACCTTTAATTAAATAAAAAATTAAACATCTCAGAGTCCTCTGGGTTTATGAGCTGCAATTACATTTCGTAATACCAGGGTGCTCGGTGAACTGGAGGTTGTTGGGAAACTGGTTTTTATATTTGTAAAGAGTCCCACCTGTACCATCACCATCCTCTGTTTTGTTTCTCTGACAGCGACCAACAAAGGTTTGTGAAGCCAGACTCGTGTCTTACCGACTGCTCCGGTGGTGATGTCAGTGTTGGGGGTCAGGCCCAGTGGAGCCCTGTAGTGATGCATCAGACTGAGTAAAACCAAGGTCACCTCTTCTCCAGCCTTCTCTGCTACAGCCTGCGGCTCCATCCCGCTGTCTCTCTCCTGCCAGCTCTGCTCTGAAGACGCTTCTCTGGACAGAGGAAGTGAACCTGGGCTCTCCAAACTGCAGGATGGCTCCTGCGTTGCTGCATCAGGTGAACTCGTGTCCAAAGAGGCGACATTGTCTACGCTGATCAGTGCCCACTCTGAGGGAGCGGATATCTTCTGTGTCCAGTCTGCCACCGGGGTGGTGGAGGAGAGTGGCGTAGCCTTTTCAGGTGAAGCCGTGGAGGGTAGTGCCATGGCAGCAAGCTCCGGCTCTGACAGGGAAGTGGGAGGCGTGTGGTAAAAATCTAAAGGTGATCCTGAGAGGAGAGAATAACGAGAAAAATAAATTCCTGATTTAAGGTGAAAAATGTGGCATGCCTCTTTTCCTTGATGCAGATGCAAGCAAAGTTCACTCCCTTATTTACTGCCCTGAGCTGACTGGTGCAGCAAAAAGCCTCTCCTGCCAATACGTTGGCAGCAAACACAGTTTTCCCATGTGGTGAGACACCGGAGAGGAGGTGGTTACTTTTCCTGATCTTCTAACAGCTACTATCTCTGCTACTAGGATCAGCCCTGCTAGAAGACTAGAAACACACACATTTAAAGAGCTACTAATGATTTCACAGGGATGTTAGTCATTCTGATCACATTACATCCCACACTGACTGCTAAAACACAGCTAAGAGTTAAACGAGCACACTTTGGCAGAAAACAGGGATCCTAGATCATTTCTCCTCCTTGTCCTTGTGTTGCTGTAGTTCTGCAGACTCATCCTTACCCAGCAGCAGTGACCTACTGTAGCCCGCTCGCCTGCAGCACACGAGCTATTCTCATCCTGTAGCCTGAGAAAACGTCTTGCACACCGACAGGGAAGAGGCTAAAACAAGCTGCTGCATCTGAAATAGCTGAGCGGGGATGAAACTCCCCGCGATGTCTTTCAAATGAGCTCGATCGTTGCTTAAGGATCAAAACAATGATTTTTACTGTATATCATCTGATTGGCTGCACTGCTTTGAATGAGCAGTGTGAGGCTTTGGAGGAAGAAAAGGTGTGTCGCTGCTGGAATAGAGAATTGGATTTTGCTCCCTTTTTTGTAATTCTATGTTTTCTTACCATATTTGTACCATATTTACTTATCATTTTTCTCTTTCTCAATTCTCTAACTGTAATTTAACATTTATAAGTATTTCTCCTTACAACAGAATTGTTTAGAATGTAAAAGTGTGTTTTTTGTGCAATATTGGTCTTCCAGTCATGATGTTGTCTACCTGCCCAGCTTCAGCAGGTGTCACTGATTGGCCTTAAGGAAGCAAGAGAAGCAAAAGAACCTACAACATTTTGAGCCCTGACAAAGGCTGTGTGGGCTGAAACACATCTGCATTTATGTTTTCAACTATTTAAGCCATGCACCAATAAAGGCTTTTTAATTTTGTATCTCCCGAGTGCCTCAGATCTCCTTTTGCCCAACATTGATGTGGATCCCTTGGCTGAAGAGCACCAGTGAGAGCACAAGATAAAATTCTTACACCCCTGCAGCCCTTCCAGCATTTTTTCTATTCGAATGATTTTATGTCATCGGATTGGCTGTACTGCTTTGAATGAGCAGTGTGAGGCTTTGGTGGAAGCAAAGGTGTGTCGCTGCTGGATTCAGCATTTCTGAGTGCAGTGAAATGCTCCTGACCATAAACACACCATTGATTTTTAGGAAAGAAAAAGATTCATCTGCTTGGACGAGTCAGGAGGTAAGTTTCATGAAATCACACCAAGGGGGAAACTCCTCCTGCCAAGCATGATGCCAACATGGAAGTTCCTCCATCGTCCACTAGGGGCTGACTCCAGAAAGGAGCACGTTCCTGGTTTACATCCTGGTTTACAGTCATGACAGCTCTGAGAAGGTGAATGCGTTTGTAACCTTTCCGTTTGATGCAATTAAAGCTTAAATGAATGAATTAGGGGCGTGTACTTTTACTGACCGGTGTCTGGTGAGCTGTCAGGGCTAGCACTAGCAACTTGCTGCCTCCTTGTTCCAGGGAAGGCCTCAGCCTCACATTAAAAGTATTATTATTATTATAACACATTTTATTTATAATGCGCTTTACATTAGAGGTAATCTCAAAGTGCTACAGAGTGTGGGGGTATAAGGAACACAGCTAGTTAACAGTTAAAATTTCAGAGAGCTACCAAGTAAAAACAGTCCCCAGAAATAAATAAAACCCATCTAAGAAGTCATTACAGTAAATTCATACAATAATTACAAATAACACAATACAGTAAAACATACCATAGGTCAATGTGCTCTAGAAAGCCTTAACAAAAAGGTCTTGAAGCCTTTTTTGAAAACCTCCACAGATTGCATGCATGGCCCTTAGAAACTCTGGGAGAGAAGTCAAATCGAGGGGCCACTGCCTTGAAGGACCTGTCTCCCATAGTAGAGAGTTTAGTCAGTGGTTGGTGCAGGCGGTGTGAAGGGGTGGTAGATCGGAGGTTTCTTGTGGCAGTGTGTGGGGTGAGAAGTTCACTCAGATAGACAGAAGCAGTTCCATGGATGCACGGGTGGGTAAGAAGACCAATTTTGTACCGAATTCGATGTTGGATGGGCAGCCAATGAAGCGATCTCAGAACAGGAGCAATATGATCATATTTGCGTCTCCTCATCAGGACCTGGGCAGCAGAGTTCTGGATGTGCTGGAGCTTTTGTATGCTCTTGCTGGGGCCCCCAAAGAGAAGGGCATTGCAATAGTCCAACTTGGAGGAGATAAATGCATGGACCAACTTCTCTGCATCTGGCTGGGAAAGAGAGGCGCGAAGTTTCGCAATATTTTTGAGGTGAAGAAAAGAGACCTTGCAGAGGTTGCGGATGTGGGTGTCAAATGTAAGATTTGAATCTAGTCTCATATCAAAATTTTTTTACAGAAGAGGAAAGGGGAATGTCCTGACCAAAAATGGAAATACTGCTAAGGGAGAGAGACCGTTTGATGTGGAGTGCCAATAATGATAGCTTCAGTTTTATTGCCGTTTAGTTGAAGAACGTTTGCAGCCATCCTTGCCCTCATCTCCTCCAGGCGGACATGCAGTGCAGTTTGGAGAGTTTTAGGTGTAGTGGAGTCCATTTTCACATATAACCGAGTGTCGTCTGCATAACAGTGAAACCAAGTGGAAGCATGTTAATGGAGAAAAGGGTTGGCCCAAAAACCAACCCTTGCGGTACTCCACAACTGACATTTTCCTAAAGCCCCATATTCCGTTCTGCCAGTAAGGTGCTCCTGGAACCAATATAGTGTGGTTCCCAAAAGGCCAACCACAGTCTGGACTCGATTTAGTAAGATGGTATGGTCCACAGTGTCAAACGCCGCTGACAGATCCCCCAACATATATTAAATTAGTTGTTTTAAATCACCGGTTTAGGGAGCGGTGAGCTGCAACGGTGGTTCAACCACCAAATAGTTCCTGTGCGCGGCCGTGTCTGCAGCTCACCGCTCCCCATGGGGAGGGGTCAAATGCAGAGATGAATTGGTTTGCTGGTTTGTTCAGAAACTTTGGTACATCTGCAGGGAGAATAAATATTTCACACGTCTTCTGATGCTTTGACTTTTTGTTCATCTTTGATGTTTTGATAATCTCAAAGGCAGAAGCGCAACAAGAAGGTTCCTGCCCGTCTAGTCTCGAGTTATCCTGAAAATGTCAAAAAGAATGTGTCTGATCTGTGGAAAAATGTGTTTAGACGTGGGAATAGAGAGAAGAAAAGCGGAGGCAAAGTGTTACACTTTAGATGGAAAATAATGAAAAACTGTTTTAAAATAGTCTGATGTCGAGCTACTTGGTTACGTTTATCTTGATCATCAACATGTTTAAAAGGCAAAAGCAACAAATACAAATCTTTGTGCTTTTTTTGGGGGGGGAGGGGGGGGGGGTAAATCATAATTTTCCACTTAAACCAGCCTTTTAACTTCATTCAGAGACCATTTTTTCAATCTCTGATCTGAGAAGCCAGATGATGAAGCCTCTGATCTGACAAAACGATCCGAGAAGCCAGCTACAGTAAACCGAACTAAGAAATCATAAATATGTAAATAAGTGTTACGTTTACCGATCCAGACTTTAGACCATCGACAGTTGAAGAGTCATGCTGGATGTATTAATGACTTCTGCAGGTCTGGTTCTGGTGTGGTTTGTGCAAAGCGAATAAAAACAAATGTTACCTGCAGAGCCATGATTGTCTTTACTGATGTGGTTTCCCATGATCCGGCACGGTCTCTTCCCTGCTGCTCGAGGCTCCTCTGAAGTCTGGACAGGAGAATAAATGTTCATTTTAACCTAAAAATCACCCCAGAAAAGAGATATGGAAACATCTTTTCATGGGACATGATTTGCAAATCATTTAATTCTACAAAAGTTATATTAAAAATAAGGTTTTACTTTCCTCTTTTGTTGAAATTTTCATGCAAGTGTCAGGCATGAGTCATAACAGGGAATATCAGTGTTTCAGATACAAAATATCTGATAGGTAACCTAAAAAATAAAAGGTTTTTAGGAGTTACAGGATGACACAAATGCCACAAGCTAACATTACCTGTAGACTTAATCTTCTCAGAAAAATTATGTTTAATATTAGAGGAAAACAAGTTGCTCTAAGCAGCCATGCATCAGTGCTGCCCTTTAAGATGAAGGACCTACAACTGGATCTAAGCCATATCAACACCGAGCCCAGCAATTTTAATGCCAAATTGATATTGCACTTGTGCAGAAATGTGTGACAAGTCTCATCTTTTCAATATTTGATTTTAATTTAATTTAATTCTCATGAAGCCTTGAATTACACATTTGCTCAATGGAGTTTGGCGAGACATTTCCCAGCAGCCTGCAGCCCTATAAAAGCATGCAGAAACGTTTTTATTATTCTTTCAGTGGCAGATCACACGCGCACACGCACACAATGAGGCCCAGTTTCATTCATTCTACCTGCTCAGCGGTCCAGTCTGGTCTCAGGCTGCCCTGCGTGTTTCTGTCTCGACTTCCCAGATGTCCTTCGTCCCAAAATGATTCCGGGCAGGCAAACCGGACCTGGAGTTATTTTCTCAGATTATATAAAAACCAGCAGAAAAGAAACGCATGGCATCATGTTTAAGATGACTCTGACTTCTAATCTCCGCTGCGTTGCCTTCAATGCGGCAAACCCCGAAGGAGGCAGCTGTGCGCAGCAGCAGCTCGGAATAAAAACGGCGCAAAAAGTAGTAAAGACATTACTTAGAGCTGATTACGAAAGCGAACCGCTCATGGTAAACGCGTAGAATCACAAAACACCGAAACAATAAAACGCCGCGTGGGAGGCATAGAAGCGGTCCTACCGGCTGGAGACTAATTATCTTTTGTTTAATGCAGGTGTGGTGGCGTCCAGGTGCGCTCTCGGGCTGCAGGTGGAGCGCATCATGTGTCATTTCTTTCTGCTGAATAAAAAAACAACAACCTGTCTAGTTGATTATTCATGAAATTAGAAATAAAACGCACGCGTGGCTGAACATCTGGAAAGGTTTTTAGTTTTTCCTGAACAGAAATGCTTCTCTTTTTATGCCTGGGATACAAAGCAAGATGGTTTATAGTGAATGAAATTTGTGACAGCCGAAAACTGACAAGCAGACATCTAAAACGTGCAAACGAGGAAGAGGTTTTATGAGCAAGATGACGTAAACGCAATGAAACCTCAAAATGGATGGTTTTGGTATTTTTTATGTGTCAATATATACAATTTAAGATGCTCTTTAATTTAAAGTCCAATCAAGACATGAAGCATAAGATCGTTTAGAATGGAGTAAATGTAGGAAAAAAGGCTTTAAAATAAGTTTCTCTTGCATTTTAAAGGTAACTTATGAAACAGGGCATTTTGGAGAAGTCATAAAAGAGGTAGAAAAAACGAGGCAGAACGCAATTCTAATTTATAGCATCAGAGAAAAATATGTGATTTAACAGCAGAGTTTAGATTTCAATGCAGTTTCATCGATTACGCTAAAGTTGAGCTTTCAGCACCATGGACAGAGCACCATGACCATCGTCATTTTCGTCCTCTAGTGTCCTTGTTGGGTCATAACAGGAAGTTGAATTTAGATTTTAATACATAGATTTATTTTGGCGCATACGACAAGCTGCTTCAACAAATAACAGAGCAGATCATAATATTACAAATATGATCGATAGAACAAAACTCACTGATTATTTCATATTTCGATTTTTTTCTTTCACTTTCTTGCAAACATACAACACCTCCCATAAACCACTCCTGCAAATAAAATAGCCAGTATATGTTATTTTTTTTATTTATAAGCCCAATCTTTAGATCCAGTTTGGAAGCTCTGGGCGTTTGAATCTGTTCAGAAGGACTGACCTAATACCGCACAAAAAACTGCACAGAGAAAAAAGGGTGTCCCTCCCAAGCAGATCTGTGCTCCTCTATTCCAAAAGGCATGGAGAAACCACCACGTGAAGGCTGGCTCCACTGCCTTTAGATTAGGAAGTGAAGTGGAACACAAGGCAGCAAAATAAACATCTCAAACAAATCAAGAGTTGATAGAAAGAGAAGGATGTTGGGTTTTATTACTGCTGCAGATGCCAGCCAGATGCGGCCCAACCCCGAGCTGCAGCACAAGCTACAGCAGCAACAAAAAACTCATCTTTAACTGAAATTTCCTGACTATGCAAAATGAACAACTTCCTTACTAGCCTAGAACACTAACCATGCTCCACTGGAACCTCAGCAGCCCTGACCAGTCTAGTGGTGGGCCAATCACAGCGCTCTGTTTGGTGCATGCATGGTATGCATGTGTCTGCTCTGTCTTCTCGATCCCCAGTGAGTCATGGAGGATGGCTGCTTATACTGAGCCAGGATCCTCTGGAGGTTTCTTCCTGTTAAAAGGAGTTTTCATCTCCACTGTTGCTAAATGCTTGCTTAGTATGAGGATTGCTGTAAAGTCACTGACACTAGTCAGTGACTTGATGCAATTTGCTGGGTTCTTTATATAGGAAACTTTTTACTGATTGGCTTAATGAACAGAACCGTGTTGGAACGTTTACTATGTGAAGATACTTGAGACGATTCTTGTTGTGATATGGTGCTATATAAATAAACTTGAAAACTTGAATTGGTGGGTGGGATGGTACTGCGCATGAGTGAAACTAAGATGTAATGGTTCGTTTGAAACAGCTTTGGTATTAAGTTTGGATCATTTAGATTTAGGATTTTCTTTGAGTCAAGAGCAGAGATCTTTAAGTTTGTTTTTGCATTTTCTTTGATGTCGTATGGCGGATTGCCCCGTTGACTGACATCAGTAGTGGTCACACTGTTCATTGTCCAATAGCATGTGGAGACAGTTTATAAAGCAACCACAGAATCTGCCCCACGAATGTGAGTCATCAATGGGCCATGGCTAGACTAACATAAATAGGATGGCTTGCCAGGAAACTTTCTGACAGTGATACCAGCTGATTTTTCAGATCTCTAAGAAAAGAGCAGACATGTTTCTGCAGAACTCTGATTGGTTCATCTCTATTATAAACTGGTCTCAAGGAGAAACATGTGATTAAAAACCAGTTGCAAACATGTCACCACGAAGTGTTTAAAACCTGCCATCCTTTCTAAATTAGACATCTTTAAGGTTTTGAATTGGTCCCAAAAAATCTACACAGTTCTGAGGTTGGATGCAAGGACACCAACATCCTGCAACTGCTCAGAACTCTATACAGTCATGCTGATCCAGAGACAGCTGTTTGAAACCTATCTATCCATCCATCCATTGTCTGAACTCGCTTTGTTCACATAGGGTCGCGGGAGGGGGCTGGTGCCTATCTCCAGCGGTCAATGGGCAATCAGGCGAGGTACACCATGGACAGAGAGCCAGTCCATCGCAGGGCAACACAGAGACACACAGGACAAACAACCATGCACACACACACTCACACCTAAGGACAATTTAGACAGACCAATCAACCTAACAGTCATGTTTTTGGACTGTGGGAGGAAGCCGGAGCACCCGGAGAGAACCCACGCATGCACAGGGAGAACATGCAAACTCCATACAGAAAGATCCCAGGCCGGGAAGCGAACCCAGGACCTTCTTGCTGCAAGGCAACAGCTCTGACCAGTGCGCCACTGTGCAGCCCACAGCTGTCTGAAACCTCTTCTCTGAAATAAATACATTTAAGAGGAAAAGTTTAGCTATCAGAACAATTGTACTGACCACTGACATCCAACAGGGCTGTGTAATCGGCCCCCTGTTGTTCATACTTTAATAGGGAGCCTAAGTCACGCCCATCTACTTCCGGACCATGGGTCCCCGGAAGAATGATAAATCTCAAAGTACGTGACAGGCGTGGTCAAAACGCCCATCCTTAGTTTTCATTTAAATTGAAGTACAACATATGTGCGATCTAGGGTGTAAGGCAAAGCGGATTAGAAAACAGCTCTTTTAGCCCCGTTGACTTGCATTCATTTAGTTGTTCTCCCGGGGACCCATGAGCTGACCGGAAGGGAGGCGGCTCCCTATGGGTAGCTGCAAATATTGGCTGCAGAAGAGTTCATGATAGACTTTGGGGCTGAGAAGAGCCAACATCCTGGGAAAAGTTTTAGAAAACTCCTTTCATGTAAACACAAATCGTTTTCTTCCGATGCTCAAATGAAGGTTTTGCCCTAATTTTATGTATATCTAAGTAAAAAACAAAAACTATAACAGTAATACCTGAGAAAGGATATAACATGAAGAAAATATTAATTTGCCACACAGATAACAAAAGTAATTTTTTCTATAGGAGTACTGTTCTTCCCAGTCTGACCATCCAAATCAAAATAGTCCAGATCTCCAGCTGTCTAAAGTAACACAGAACGTGTTTATTTCTTGGAAGTGTTTGTAATTCATGGCGAGTTAAAATGTTAACAAAAGCCTCTCTGCAGCACAAACCTCTGAATAAAAGATCTGCAGCTGGTTTTCAGCTTGTGGCTGTTTTAAGCTCTGCACCAAAATGATTCCTCTGTGACCCAAACACCTCCCAGTTTCTTAGCAATCAATTTCATCATGTCTTCTCATGTTTAGCCCACTCATTTTTATTACCATAAACATCGTCACAAAGCTCTTTAAAAATAATTTCTTCTTCTAGAGAAGCATAAAGGAGCCGAGATGAGCTGAACTCAGTTTTAATGCTCTGGAGATCTTTCAGAAAACCTATTAGAAACACTTTTTCAGCCATAATTAATCAGTTTTTACAGGAATGTTCGAATTTTTTAGCTGATTTACCAAAATATTTTCAAGAGACATAGGTGTTGCTTCCTGAAAGTTAGAAAATGAGTTTTAAAATGGATATTTGGCTGTAAAATGCTAATAAAACCCCCTCAAGAGCGAGATAATGAAGTGATGCGTTGGTTTTCCATAAGGAAGAATCCATTGGAAGTGCTTAACAATGTTTTCAATCTCACCCACTAAAGAGAATCTGGCACCCAAGTTTTTCTGCATACTTTGCTCCTTTTCACAGTTTTTTGAGTATCTCGTTTCATCATTTTTCACGTGAATGTTTTCGACAGACCCTTTCTCTCCAACCTGCCAACCATTTGCTTTAATGTGTGACGACACACATTTCAGACAGAATTTAATGGGATCTTTGACTCTGTGCAGACGCCCATCACAAAATCACTGTTGTGCTCATTTTAAACGACAGCTTGACAGACTTAGAGTTGATAGGTGAAGGAAAATGATGCATCTCTCGGGTTCTGTGTCAGATCTTTGATGGATTTCCTTCTTGTTTCTGTAGACACAACTTCCAGACACAGCTCATTCGCTAAAGATAGTTTTTAAGTTTGTTTTTGACTTTTACTTGCATTAAGGTGGTAAAAACTACTGCCACCTAGCTGTCAGACATTGAAGTGCACCACGCAAGAAAAATAAAGTAAATGTTTTCATGTAAATTCCCAATAAAAAAATCTATACACTGCTTTTAATATCGATTGAATATATGAACACGAAATATTGCATATTTCAGTGTATCATTAATATTTTACTTTATATTAATGCAATGTCAGTAAATATCAGTTATCAGATATAACAGCGATTTTAACAGCAGATATCAATATCAGCCTACATCGATGATAACAACAACAACAACAACAACTATAATAATAACAATAATAATAATAATAATACTTATTTTTATTCCTATTCTGTTTTATTACTTAATAAAACAGCCATAGTAACATTTGTGGGGTTTCATTTTAAACCATGGACCTTAGATCGGGTTATTTGCGGAGGATGAAGTTTTGCGCTTTGCGCGCAGTTTTTCGTGCGCAGAGAAGTTTGCTGTTAGATCCTCGCTAGAGTCCAATTGGCGCAG